CAAGACATAATGACATGCATAGACATAGTTTTGCCAGAGGTCTGGGTGTGATGAAACCTCCCAAGGATAAAGGTCAAATAGAGCAGAGGTTCCCAAGACAATGGTCTTATCAATTATGGTCAGGTGGACATTAGTAGTCACAACAATTAGTAGTTACAGACAATAGTAGCCATAAAGACTACAGTTAATTGGCAAAACAACAGGATGTGAGCTGATTGAATAAGATGCCTCATTTCATAAATAAAGTGGCAATTTGCTATGGAAGAAAAAAATTAAACACAGCACCCAGCCAAGTGCGAATCAGGGTCCGCTTTCACTGTTTGTGAAATCTGCAAATTATCCACAAAACCTGGGGCAGCAGAGGTAGTTCTGAATTGTGAGAACAAAACGGAGGCCACGATGACAGCGTGATATGCACAGGAACAACAGTTCCTCACATATTAATGTTTGGAGTTAAAGTGTAACAGAGCAGCTGTCTCTCAGAGTTGTCCATACCACTAGAGGGCTGCTCAGGCTCACTCTGAGGAAGGAACAAGTGCAGGCATTTGCACAGGATTACAAGAGAGGAATCTAATGCAGCTGGTTTTTATTAGGTTTCCCTATAATACATAGAGAATGTGGGAGCAACTACCAGATTTGTGTTACACATATAATGGCCTATATGTCACATTATACAGTAGTTGCCTAGAATGAATTTGCTCAACTGACCACCTCAGCTTTCATTGTAACCCGGCTCACAATCGTACAGTACATGCCTTCCAAGTTTAAATTAATCATCAAATCATTTTTTTAAAAATGAAAAAATGAGCATTATCAAATAGCCTGTACTGGTTTACCCGTGCAAAGACTTGTTGATGATTTGAGCAGCAGGGGTTACAAAATAGCTGGGGTCTGGCTCAGCACTGGTTCTGATGGTTTCATATTGATATACTGTATGTGAACTGTGATTGTTGATATTATTAGTTTCTTTTTGAACTCTTTCTTCACAAAAAAAACTACAAAACATTGTTAGAGATCACTGCAGGTCATCACATACCTTCTCCACATAGAAGCTCAGTTGCTTGCTTGAAATATCCAGCACAGGTGCAATGAACTCGCATGTCACATCCACGGTCATGATGCGCTCTTTCCCACTCTGCTTGCCAATGATGGCCTGGCAGATCAGTTTCTCCCTCACCACCTGGGGCAAAATTAAGGGCACTGCTAAGTCAACAAGAGTGTAAGAGTGACACAAATATTCCTAATTAAGGATAATCATATTTACATTTTGCATTGACTGTGTTATAATAATAGTCATACATATACCGCATATTTAAATTATCCTGAAAAGTGAAGAGAGAAAACACAACGTTTTGGCCGTGGAGTCATACCTGAAGAAGACTCCACAGCCAAAACGCTGTGTTTTCTTTCTTCTCTTTTCAGCATGGAATAAACCTATTACTTGTTCCTTTGCTGTAAGGAACATCAGTAGGTCTTCCCGCTGGACACAATTTCTATTTCAATGGCCCAGTGTGGAGACAGTCATCTGATCAAGATGCGATTACAGATCCTATGGCACAGTTCCAGAAGCTCCAGAAGCTCCAGAAGCTCCAGACGTTTAGCGGTATCTTGGTAAATTCCCTACTGGGCTAGAAGAAACTCCTTAATTCAATTGTTGATATCAATTCCTGCTCTCCACTGGATCTGTTAATTAGTAAGGTGTTAGCTTAAAAAGACTGCCACTTCTGGCTGCTATAATTCAGTGGTAGATGCAGTGGATCTTACTGTATCTGAAACACTTCTGGATCCTCTGATATGAAAAGCAGTGGAGAATTGTAAGCAATTATAGATCTCGTGCTGCCTAGTGTGGTCAGTCTGTTAATATTGCTTCTTAAAGCTTCCTAAATGAGCTAACACACTTCCCACAACCCTCGGAACATAATTCTTAACAAAAATGCCAAAGCTCGTTTTCAACTGTTTTGTTTAAAAATTGTGCATTCAAACAAAAAGTAATGTTAAAATTTGATCAAAATAAAAACGCAGAAAGGTCTAAACCAAGGTAATTGTGGCATTCGTGTGGAGGAATACTGTACCTTGGGCACGTGAGTTGAACCTTCCAGCAGCATGTCCACAGTCTGCCCCGGCTGTAGCTCTGCCCTCAGGGGATGCAGTGTAAAGACAGGAGTGTCCTGGTCCGCAACAGGTACTGGGTTCCTGTGCCTGTTGTCCTTGGAGCTGCTTGGGAAAGGCGGGGGTCGCCGACGGAACTGGGGGAACCCCTCTGTCATCCAGTAGAGCTGGTGAGGGCGCCGGCCGCGGTTGGTGATCCGGAAGTGGTACCGACAGGGCCCAGAGCTGAGGAAGAGGAGCGGTAGGAGGGCTTTCAGCTGAATACTCTACAGAGAGCAGAAACAGCAGCTGCAGGAACTCCTGAGAATAAATGGCCTGAATTGAAACCCACTTTCGAAAGACATGCTATATCTAAATTCTGCACTTCTTTTTTTTGCCTTATATGATAACTACCTGTTTTATGAGAATTCAGAATATACAGAATAAGATTCAGTAACTCTGAATCTCTGAAGAGCTGCAGCAATACCAGCTTGCTGCAAAGAGTGACAACAAGTTTACACACATTAATAAATTAACTGTTACAAACACATCCAGGCGGGACATCCAAGTCAGGTGACATTTAGACAAAAGGGCACAAATATGTCAGAAACCCACCTGAAGTGGGCCCCCATGTTGAGAGCAGGGGCAAAGGGTCTGTCGGTCACAATGGTTGTGCCAGTGCCCATGGCGGAGACTGGGATTGAGTGGGTCTGGCTGTTCTCAATGGCCAGGTGAAGCTTATCCTGGAAGCACACCGTGTCATCCAGGTGTGCCACCAGCCTGATCTCCATCACCCCCTCGGCTGGCACCTCTCCTTCACTTGGTTCTGGGCGCCACTGGGACTTATTACGCACCTGCAGCACATTTGGCAGCATCAATTACAACAGCTCGCCCAGTGGGTAAGACTGCAGAATTCATGGGAAATTAGAACTACGCATTATCTGTTATTCAAAATAAAAAGCAATTGACTCACCTAAGAAAACTTAAATCATTTTATTATGGTTAATTCCCTTTAGATCAGAACCAGACAATGAGATCTTCAATGAGATATCTTGATTAGACATACACAACAGAAGAGGCAGGTCCTGGACAATTTCACACCAGTGTACCAGGACACTGCCATGTTTCTGTGCTGCCAGTATGTTCAGAAAGGGTGTGGTATTGGTTTTACACAGAGAAACTCCACTGGACCAATGCAGTTATCTCCTGACATTTCAAAAAGCTGAAAAAAATTAAATCCTACACACTGTTTTTCCTGATTTCTAATGTCATTTCAGATAACAACCCCTGGAAGAGTGCAGAATAACTTTATCCTGACCAAAAGGCACTAACCAGTCTGCTGGACACACCTTGCAGAGAGCTCACTTCAAACCTGCTATCTACCCAGACAGCGGAGGCAGTCTGGCAGCAGACCAGACACGTCTCTTCTGCACTGCTGCTAAGACAAGTTATCTTGTTCTTTTATCTCAACAAGTATTACATTTGAACAAATATTCTTTAGAGGGATATGCCCATATTTGCTTTCCTGGACAGACGTTTATTCAAACACTAGACACAGCAAACACCTATTGATTGGGAGAAACAGACAGGGAAAGGTAGCAATATCAGATACATGTTCTTATCTGATCCCAATGGCTGTTCCTGATTCTTAGAACACATTGAAATAAAATTGAAAATTGCCTCCTTTTTCTTTTTATTTGGAGTTGTTTATTTTTTCAATGCTAAACTGAGGATATACAGTATTGAACACTGGTGCCACAGGGCACAGAGGCAAACTACTGAACATTGAACACACAATATGTAAATGATATGTAAATGACCTGATCATTACGAGAATGCACTGTAAACATTTCCTGAAAAAAAAATCACTTATCCAGTTAGTCTGTACTAAGACAAATAATTCCTTTCTCCAAGACTCATTTTATCAGAATTGCAGCAGAAAAATATGAGTGCTGGTTTTGAAATAATAATAAAAATAATAAATAATAATACGGGTGATGTCCTTCCCTGCTGTATTATGCCCATTGCAGCTTTGGTAGAATACATCCTTAGGATTACTTAACATCTCATCAAAGGGATGAGAGAGTGCTTAAAGCAAACGTTTCTTTCTCCCCTTTGAGTATGAGAAATTCCTCTCTTCCTCAATTAGAACAGGAGAACTTGCAGGAATATGATCCAGAAAGTGTTTTTTTTTTCCTGAGGGTCAGCAGTGAGTATAAGAGGGGAAAGATGGGAAAGATCTAACATCCTTTATTAATATAATGAACATGGTGGCATTATGATGACCTGCTGTACTATATGAGCAGGGAGCATTATTTTTCAGTAAAGAACAAGGTATTGACAGTATTTGCATAGGTCCAGCAGCCCTGTAATTCAGAGATAGCTATATTAAATTATGCTTTTTAAATGTCCATGCATGTCACATCACTGTCAACAGAGTAATGAATCCCAAATGCATCTTTAATTTCTTACAGTTTTACTGTACCTGGATAAATCTCTGATCCATTTTGCAATATAAACAACATGCATAACTAGATCAGCATCCTTTCAATGGAATCCTGATAAGAATGGTGGTGTTTTCAAGACTGAGACAACTATATTTTTTGAGTAACAGTGAAAAGCCCAGGGAAAACAAGTCAGTTGAATGTAATTTGTGGAAAAGGATGTTTTTACTGCACCCCTGCTAAGAAGTAATGGAATTTAATGATACAGTGGCTTTTCAGATTAAACATTTCAAGTGCATAAATTAAAAAATATATTATTATTCAGAACACGTTAACTGATTCAAAAATAGATTATTCTTCCCTTTCTGACATTGCTGTTGATTAAATGTAAATGTCGCCTACACAGAGGTTGGTTTTAGTTCCACATGGCTTTGAGCTCTTTGAATTAGTGTCTTTCTTCTTTTAATTCTTTAGGATAGACATCCTACGCTTTTAATATTCTCCAGGCATCTCTGTCTGCTGTCTTCACTCCTGGCCTTATCAACAGACTTGACCACATTTGCAAATCCTGAAATTAGGTGTTGTGACCAGCCTCATAAAACAGTTTATGTGATTTAGAAGTCTCAAGGATCCTTCAAATTTTCAGCAAATTAAACTGAAAAAGCTGAATGCTTCCAAATGTTCAGACAAATCTTTAATAAATGTCTCTCTTTATGCAACTACAGTCCAGATACAGATAATTGGATGAAGTGAAAAGTGAAACACAGACATACAGTACAAGTGATATGCAGTTTCCAGAATAATATCTCAGTCACATTAAGATCATGAGATTGACTGAAACAATGTAAATAAGCTGTGGGCAAAGCTTGGTCACTTAAACAACGGAACCTAAGTATAATCTTACCAATATATTTAACGTTTGCCAATAAGCCTGACTTTGAAAGAAACTTCAGACCTGCAGACAGAATTATTGAAAAACAAGTCACAAAGAGACAAAGAGTTAAATTTGTTGTCAGTTTAGCTCATCATCACCAGGAGGAACAGCTTTGACCCTGGGTGATTTCCTCTTCATCATGGAAGCCACCTGCGCTCCCACTGACATCATTATTTTTCAGCCCACTGTTAATCCTCAGCTCTCTGCACCCTTTCTCACAGTGATCAATAGGGTCAGTAGACATTAACCTGAATTATATCATCAAACGCTGTGGACCTCCAAATCCATGGGAAATGTGATCCCACAGAGCCAAGGCTGAGGTTTCCAGAGTTCCTTGCCTCAGTGAAATAATTACCCTGGGTGTAACAGACACCTGCCAATTAAAACCCCACTACCACTACCTACTACAACAGAAACAAGGCTTTTCCAGATGACCAGGATAAGGGAATGTTTTTCACACATATTGTACATTACATCAAAGATGCATCTTTGATGTAATGCACAGTAATTAACACTTGTTTCTCATTCAAAAAAGCACTGATTCTTTTGTGTGTGCCATTCATACATAGTTATGAGTTTCCCTAGTTACTGTATGTGTTCAAGCAAAGTTTAGAATCACTTTCCATACTGCAATGCCCTATTTGATGTTTTCTAAATAAACTTTTAATTGGGTTTCCTAAACAAGCAGTTATAATCATAAACAGTGGTAATTACTTTGCCTTCTAAAAAATGCATATTTCCAAATAAGAGATGTAATTCTCTTTTTTCTGCAATTTATTTTTTTAGTTTAGGCAAACAGAAATATAAAAGCAATGAGTTCCCTGGTGAGAACCCAAAGGTGTAAAATGCAATAGGAAATATGACTATTAGTGCCCCAGGTGTAAGTCTATGAATAAGCAGTCTTTTGGCCACTTACAATAACTTAATGGTGTAGAAAAGTATAAAACTAAAAAATACTTAAAACAACGTTCCTTGTTGCTCAAACCTTTGGTTTGTTTCTTTGTGTATGTGAAGAATATAAGCCCTTTCTTCACAGGGATAAGAAACTACACCAAATAAGTAAAGGTGATGTTTCATAGTTAACGTACTGACCTGAGGACAAGTCAGCGTTAAAACAACATCAGGCAAATTATGGCAGGGGTCACTGAAACACAATGGAGCTACTGTACATGTTTCAGTGCCATATTTTCTCCAGCTCAGATACAATAAAAAAACATTAACCCTGATTTTAGAATAACAAAGGGGTATTTGTGGGGTAGCCTTGAAAGGTCAGAAAGCATGCTGGTTAGGGTCAAGGTATCCCAGAATCCAGTCTATCCCAGCATGCACAGAACACAAGGCGGGACTAAAGGCTCAAGTGCACGACAGAGAAAGAGTCTTTGATAAGCCAATCACACTGGGTCAGGTGTCTTAGTGAGGCAGGACAGCCAAATTCTGCACACTGTGTCCCAGGCAGGATCCGGCACAAGAGCTGTGAGGCAGCTGCGCTAATAGCACTCTGAAATATTGGAATGTTGCAATCAGAAATGTGACATTTTCTATAGTGTATGTTTAATATTATACTCTGTGAGATTGCCTCATTAGAATGTTGTCCGTGGGTAAAAGGAGACCTACTGCACCGATCTGGTACCGTGAGCTAAACTCTCCCTCTTTCCCTCACGTGCACACAGAGCCAGCGAAGGAGCCTCTAAGCTCCAGTGCAGGACTCACTTTGCCAAGACGTACAGTAATTAAAAGTGTTCAAGAACACATGTGAACACTTCCCATGAGTAAAGAGAAAGGAGGGAAAGCGTTCCAAATCCCACTTAGAGCATCTGCTTGTGAGTTGTTACAGTGGCTCTTTCAGCTCACAAAACACACTTCCTAGCTCAAAGCAAGCTTGGAAATAAGGTAGGTTATACTGTACGCTACCCTTCATCAATACCTCAAAAGATTTACATCATTTAATCAGCAAACTTCCACAAGGAAATAAAACACCATTAACACGACTAATTAGTGCAGAATTATTAATATCCTCCACAATACTAACAATGCTATAAACGCTGGGAAAAAAGAGCACCTTACTAAGCAAAACAAACAAAGCCAAAGAATTAAGCAATGTTTTTCAAACATTACCAAGGGTTAAAAAGTTGATAATTAAGGTTTCTATTTAAAGTCAGTCTTGTTTATTGCTTATTACTTCCCATCCTTTCCATATCCAGGAGGAATTGATATCCCAGTGGAAATTAGAAGAGGCTTGATAGAGAATGCATTCTGTTAATGCTATTCAATCTTTGTAACAAACACAAATATGAAAATGCATATTTATTTATAACATTGAGCTCAGAAGTGATAAACACATTAAACCGGTATTAACAGGTTCTGTTATTCCAACACAAAAATGTAAGTTTTTCAACTGGCCTTAGAGAATAGTACCCTATTCTCTACCACACAACATATATAGCAACCAGTCTAAGTCATAATCATAAGTCCAGCTTTTCATGTATCTATACAATAATTTGTTCTTACAATAGATTACATCCGGAACAATGGCTAGTTTTAATCTTTTTTGCATTTTCAGTTTTACTCTCTAGGGTAATATTCTCACTACAGATGCACATGTACTGTAGATAACTAATTAATGGCGAAGAGGAAACAGTGTGATAAGGTATTAAAAAGTCTGTGCTGTAGAGTACCCTGTAATGTCACTGGATTGGTACAGAACAGAAAAGGAAACAGAAAAGGAAAAAAAATAACTGTTTGAAAAAACTCTACACAAAGTAATTCAATAAAACTAAAACCTGGTTGAGGCATTAATATATCCTGCACTATCAGTGCTGAATTACTACTGCCTTTCTTATAAATGTTTCAATAACATTCAGAAATCAACTACTGTGTTTCTTCCTGCAAATCCTATGGCAAAACTGACAGTTTTAATAACAATAAAATCCACTTGGATCAACCAGTTCTCTATGAAAACGAAAACAAAACATTGTTCTTTGTTGTGTTATGGTCTTCCACCTCTTTTAATCCTGTTGAGGATATACTATTGTACTCAGAAACTAAACATAACTGTAACTGTGTCAGATACAAATACTTCATCACACCTAAGCAATGCCATTCTACTTCATTTTCATACTCATGGGCAATGCTATACATGGCGTTGAATAAAGGGCATTACTATTAAAAGCAATACCTCAACTACTCTGATTTCCTTCAGCTTGATAAGATAGGGAAATCCTACCTGGAAAAAAAGACTTGAAAATAAACTGTTGAACACTGTGGTACTCTAATTCAAATCAAATCAAAGTTTATTTATCAAATGCACAACAATACAGCGTGCAGCAGTAGTTGCTGGCAATGAAATGTCTTTTCTGCAAGTTCACAAAAATCACAAGAATCACAAAAACACAAAAATCACTGAGCTGTTGTCACTGCAAAGCTCTGCTGATTAATAACATATTTTACCATTTTGACTCAGTATCAAATTAAGCAGGCTACAAAATGATGTACTAATTGCATAAGCTAGAGTTTCTAGACAGGTGCCTTTAAGGCATTTAGGAAACAACAGATGCAAACTTTCACTCTCTCCTGCCAAAACTACTCATATCTTCATACACCTTGGCCTGCTTCATTTTCTCATTTCCCACCACAGTTAAATTCCAGTCTCTTCTTCCTTTATTGTCACTGTAGAAAATGTTTGTGCCCAGGCGAGCCAAAACTCACAGCTCTGAAAGGTGTTCAACTCCTCGTGCAGATGTGCTCTGTTTCCATGGAGACTGAGGACTGTGAGCTGGGGCTCGTCCGGGCATAAAAAGTTTCTTCAGTGATTCAATAGGAATTGCTTGGGCTACTTGTCCCATCCACCTGCCCCAAATTAACAGGTGGTAATGCCTTCAGAACAGAATATTTAAACTCTGATCTGCCACTGATCCGGTGCTCTGCCATTGAGCACCTTCAGACCAGGGCAGTGCTCGCTGCACAACAAGCCCGTGTTTCAGAAGGACACTCAGAATCCCGCAGGAGAATATTTCCGTCTGACTCTAACCCGCTCCGCCTGCCAGCTCCAAGTCTATCTAGCCATGCATCAGACTACTGGCAGATATCTGAAACCCCCCTATCAGAAAATCCCATGTGGCAGCACAGCCACTTTGCCCAGAGTAGTCGTGAGCTCGCGTACAGTCAGGGACCAGCCTTGTTTGCTCTCGCCTGATCTTTCATCAGTCTCTGTCGGCCTCCACTCCCCGACCTGTTTCGCCAATCTCCCTCAGCTCTTGTGTGCCAGAAATATCTGTTCTTACACTTCCACATTCTGCACTGCCGAATAAAGATACGGATTATATTACAGAAACAAACAAATACACATCCTGAGCTCATCTTTAAAAAAATGCTGCATATGCCACTCTTTTTAAAATGGTCACCTCTATACATTTACGCAGGGTAACATACTAATTTTTATTTCTGTTTTACTCTACCACTTTAAGGAGCATCCTCCTCACACCCTTTTTGTGCTTTTTACAAGAAATCCCACAGCACGCATTAAACATCTCTAGAACAAGAGCAATCCTCTTAAGATTAAACGAGTCAGGATGACATGGTGGTGAAAGAGAGGGTAGAGGTGTTTGAACCTCACATCACGATTTGTTTGAAGATGCTGAAATGTGCTTTACAAAAGGACAACAGTGACATGAATTGCCCTCCTTTGTCATATATCATCAATATGACCTAAAATGGTCTCTTTTGTAGACATGCGTTTCTATAAGACACATTTCTATTTTACCAGAGAGCAGACATAAAGTTGGCGGTTTACATGGGGTACCACTTCAGCAATTCCAGCTCACTTCAGAGAATTTCATCCAACACAGAGAACCGAGGAGAGCAGTAAAAGGAAAAAGATTGAAGCATAGAAAGCACAAAGTCAGAAACAAAAGCAATTTCTTGAAAAAGTTTAAATAACAGGCCGCAGAGAAGTAAGCCAGATGCACTGAAGCATCTCTGTAAAATAAGAGGAAGAATGCTCACTATTGCTCAGGGGAGAGTGGGGCGAAGGAAGCACAGCTCTGAGACTCTTTCATTACAAATGCAAAGCTAAAATCTGTTTCTCTTCAGGCACTCAGATAGATATCATCCAAATGGCCTCACCACAAGAGGATCAGAGATTATTCTTCAATGAATTAGCATCAGAATTGTAATGGCGGTGGTTGGGGGGTGATATAAAAAGGAATTGCAGCTGTGGGTGGTTTCATTCGTTCCGCAGTAATAGATCTTTATTTTAACAGTGTCATAGATCACATTTTCAATCTCTGAAGAGTCTTGAGAGGGAAAATTAGTAGTAAGGGGTCATCAGGGAAAAAAGCGCTGTGCTGCACATATGGAAATGGCTTTAGTAACACAGCTCTAGGGAACCTACCCTGAAGACGATATCTGAGCAAGCAGTATGCGTACTGAAATATCAATAATCGGATCAGACACGCACTGAAATGACTTAATCCCATCAATTGCTTTGAACTGCATCAGATCAAAGAGGTGTAAAGATGAAAAAAAACTATTGTACATTTTTTTTACCTAAAGCTACAAAACATTTTTCTACAGCCTTCATAGAATACAAATAAAAACAGTAGTTTGGATTTTTTTTGGTGAAACCAGGCACAACAGTTTAACAGAAGTGGAAACTAAAGTTTAGGACCATTCAAGACGGTGGAGACCATCAACCAAAAGTAAGATCAATAGCTTAATGGCATTCTTTCATTTGCAACCATCTTTAGGGTTCTTATCAAAGAAGTTCAGATTTTATAAATACAGTACACCTATTTTACCATGTACTGTAGATGTTTTTTAAATAGAATTAATATTTGGCAGAGTTATGAACTGCTTATTGTTGCCTTAGTGAAACCCAGTGCTAGCTAAAAAAAGAAAAGAAAGCTTGCCTGTTGCAGGACAGACAAAAGCAAGGCCTCTCGGTTCCCTGATGCCTATCACTGTCTTGTCCTCAGACTATGAAAGATCACATTGCTCTAGTTTTCTGATACAGAAAAGCAATACTAAATATATACCAAACCATTCTTTGTCTAACTTCTTAGATGGTATCTCTAGGAGAGACTGATCTGTCCCCAAACACATAAATCACTCACTGCCACTAGGTCTGTTTTAAATGCAAATGCCTTCAACACTATTCCGAGTGCAGCTCGAATGCTGCATTTATAATATTTCCAGGTATAATAGAAGCTGCTCAACAGGATTGGGGCACAGTAAGTCTTCTGAATCTCTGCACATAAATTACATAAGTAGATTGGCTCCTAAAACATAAAGCACAGCTTTTTAATAAAAGTCTAAATTAAAATGAGCACTGGAAGGGAGTGGGGTTGCATAAAGTACCTGGAGTTCAACAAAAAATGTCTTGTGGAATGAAACTCATTTTAATCCATAACATAATTCATGGTAAACACTGAGAATGAGCAACAAACTGTCTAACAAATTTTTGCTTAATGTAGAAATGCTTATGCTAAATACATTATAGAAATCAAAATAAACTACCATCTATGCCTTTCAATAGCTAGATGGCAGTGATTGTAATGTTAAAGGGGGGTGGCCTAGTTGTTACAGGGCTAGCGTATGACTCACATTATAATCTGATAATCATCTGTCTACCTACCATGGATCCAGTTTGACAGAGGGACCAACTAAGCTCCCATAGTGTTTGCAGAAAGTAAAGATTCAAGAAAAACAATTCAAGGCTAGGATGATTTTTTCTCTCTAGATGTCAAGCAAAGGGTAGGTCAGGCCTGTAATTCCCTTGTTTGCAAGAGCTGTTCTGCCACATGTCAGAATCACCCTGCCTGCTCTGACTAACATGACCAGTCTAAATCAGGGCTGCTTTTGGCCAGAACATCTAATTAAGTGATGAATGAACCAAGCAAGGAATGACTGAACTAATTAATTGAACAGCCAATTAGACTAAATTAATTAAAATTAGCATTGTGAATTACAGCAGGTATTGCATGATGGAGAAAACAGAAAAAAAACTGTCTGAATTGCATTAGTCCCTAGAGAAATGAAAGACTGCAAGAGCTTTTTCACATTTCTTTGGTAAAGAATATGCCCTGAGGCTCAGCAGTACAAATTACCCACCATTTGTGCCAAGAAACGCGCTGGGATTGGGGACTGGTTAGACAGCTGCAGTGTCCTGGTTATGTCTGTCAAAACTGGGATGCTCCCGAAATCCACTTCAGTCACTTTAACGTGAACCACTGGCCCTTCACCAATACAGGACAAGTGCAGCCCCTGAGGAAACAGGAAGAGTTTGACTGAATACAGGAGATACTAAAGCAGATGGGTTATTTTGGCTTAAAATGTCTATATTTCATAAGGAAAATACAATGTTATTATACAAAGTCTGCTGAAAGCTCAATTGTGTAACTGCTACATAAGGATATTAAAGGTTAATCCAAGGCCAGATGTTCTGCTCACTAAGTGATATAATCAGGCGTTAAGTGCTATGGAATACATTATTATTTTTAATGAATAGTGTAAGATTTTTTATAATATCTGAATTCTATGGCCTTTAGAACTATATATAATCAAATACATCATGTCCTGCTATATCAAATTAAGAGACTCATTTGTAACATGAAGAGTTCTGTCGATAAGTTTGTTACTAGTGTCGCAGTATGGACAAGTGCAATAAAGAAATGAGCAAACAGTCCTATGTCTTATTGAAAATATAGGACAACTGATGGCATGGGGAAATTATCATTCAAATGTAAAAATGCAAACAGGCAACTATACATACTGTGTTACTGATATATGAGTGTACATTCAATTGATTAAAACTCACAAGTGGTGGCTCTTCACTGCCAAACACAGCGATCAGTGCCACGGTTTCAAGCCTGCCTTTGGCCTTTGCCTGAAAGATAAGTGGAACCTCCACCATGGAATGGGGTTCGAGGATGCCACGAGGATGAGGGCTGGAATACAGCAGAGCAGGAAACTCCTCGTACTCCTGCAGAAAGGAATGTGCAACAGTTACTGATGAAACATGCTGCAGGTGCAGGTCTTCACTCTGTTTCGGCAGTATGCATGTGACATGTGTTTTCATTCAGAATGGACAGTGATGTTAATCAGAATGACAGGGCCTGTCAGAAAAAATACTTAGTAGCAAGGAAAAAAATCACCTTTAATAGACTGCTTCATATGAAACGTCAGATTGACACTTCAACAATTAAGAAGAACCAATCACCAAGCTAAAGCAACTCAAAAATCAGTCATGACAACAGAAGCCCAAAAGTTCACATTTTCTTCAGTGACCTGTAATCACCACAAGTGGATAGACCCAGGAAGTTTTTGTCTTCCCAAACTGACCTGTGAAAGTAAGCCATAGCAAGCTGGCAGGTCACTATTATTCATCAGCTTCACTGTCTTCTGATAGGGGTAACCCAGGAAGCATTTGTGAAAGTCCAAAACTGGGGTCTCCAAACGCAAAGCAGGAATAACACATCTAGAGGATAATAAATCAAAGCAAAGGAAAAAAAAACAGTCAGATGAGCCACTTATTTGTTGTTCTGAAGTTGGAATTTATTGTACTCTGTTAAAATCTCTGTTACGGGTTTACTCTACATTACACAACCCTCAAAGGATAGCAGCCTGCCACATACTGTATGTTTCTTCACCATTAGAGTGTGAAGGGAAATACATCTTATTCCCTCAACACACTGTACTGATATCTGTGCGCTTCTTTGTACAATTTGAAGACTGAAATGTGTTGAAAACAACAGTAGAATTATAATAAAATCTTAACATAATCTACAAAAGGAACAAGTAACAGGTTTATTCCATTCTGAAAAGAGAAGAAAGAAAACAACATTTCGGCCAAAGAGCCTTCTTCAGGTGTCAGTACAGTAACATAATCTATATATTATATGACAATAATATTCCTTTTGTGTCTTAATTCACTTAAGATAAAAAACATTGCTACATTCCACTCATAGCCACCCCCTACTGAGAGCATAATTCAAAGCCGGTCCTCTTACCTTGCAATGATTGGCAGAGCCAGGACCTCCTCCCCAACACCCTGCACATCCACCACCAGAGCCAGCTCATAGCACTGCACTGTGTTCGAGCACAGGGTCACCTGCAGAGACAACAGCCACACAGCACTGTCACTGCTGCACTCAGTGGGCTTGGGGGGTTCAAGCTCTAATAATGATTCCTATAAGAAAGGTGAAGCAGACAGGGGACGGACAAGGGATAGGCGATAAAGTAGAGCACTGTTCAAAGTTATATTCTACTGAAGCTGAAAAAATGAGGGAAGGGAGCCATTGATGCAGTATATCAAATAGATAAAAGCTATTTACTGGATGATTTGTTCACTCCACCAAGTTAAGACCCTTGTCACTGTAAACTCAATGTGCACCATGTAAGGACTACTCCATTGACCTACTTGTTATTCCTACAAGAACCTCTGGGCAACTCTACAGATTTATTTCCTATCCACAGTAGCACACTATTTACTCAGCTCCTAATATATATTCAGGTAATGTGAAAGAGCAAATTAAAGTTCAGAAGTGACATTTGGCTGTCATTTAAGTGAACAGAGTAGGATATTTACAGACAGCAGTTGAGGGGCGGAGAAATATCTAATGAAGCAGCGGGCTTTTGTGACATGCTGTGTCTTATGAAGCTGTCAGTTAAAGAGTGATGGATATCATATTCCAAGTGCTCATTAATACATAACGACGATTAAAGGTTTCATAAGTCTAGGTGTCATTTATTTTAGAACAGAAGATAAAAGCAGAAAACAAAAGGCTTTTGGCAACTTCAGACGCTGATCAATAATAAATTAACTTTTTCAACTGCAGAGGGTGATGCTGTCCCTGTTTCAAGATTAAACGTTGGTGCACCCTTACATCTCTGCTTGCTGTATGCAAACCTGTCCTAGAAAGTGTCTCCATTCTTTTAATGCCACTTCCATTCCAAAACTACTGTAACAGTAACAACAATCAAAACAAAAAGCACATGGAGTAGCAGAACTTACACAAATGCCTAAACACATACTCTATATGCAAATATACTTTTGGACAAATTCTTTCGTTTCCAAGGAGTCTTAAAAGCTTTAAAGCTCTTCATACTGGATGTGAGAGTCAGCTTCTGCAGATCTTTGCACCTGAATGTCGGTCAGTCCCTGGGCACGGACAGTCCCGTTGCTGGGGGTCACAGTGAACTCTCTGGGCCGGTCCGCCTGGCTGAAATTGGCCCAGGTCGTCCTGTTCATGTCTGAGACCTGACTGGCACTGGTCATGCTGGCCTCCCCACTTCCATCTCCAGGAACACGCAGAGTAAAGGTCATTGGCACCAGAGAGGTGTTGTTCAGGCAGCAGGTCAGAGTATGAGGAAATCCTTTAAAAGTGAGAAAAGGATGAAGCAAGTATTTAAATCTTTGGCCAATTACTAATTCCCATCACAGATTAAATTAACCTCACTAGCCCAACTCACAGTACTTGCAAAACAGAGACATTGAAAATGGGTGGAAAGACTGCATAACCTGGACTAATTTCTCCTCACTGGTGAGTGCACTGAATAAGCCCACTCTGAGTTTAATGTCAAATGAAGGTTTAGCAACATTAAGTATAGTTCACATTCCCCTCTGTAGTGTGCACCATTGTGTTCTATTGTTGTATGAAGTTAATGTTGGCTCAAAAAAACTGACAGAAGCAGTTAAACTTTGATATTCATTCACCCCAATGAAATAAAACAAATAAAAACTCCCTTGTATAAAGATACAATAAAGTAATATAAATAAAATAATTTAGATGCTGATTTAACATCTGCATTCAATGCACCATTAGAACCCACAAAGGATTCTAAGGTTACTAACTTTTCTCCATGTCGGTAATGTATGGACTCACCAAAGGACACATCTCCAAAGTTTAGCTCTGGCACACTGAAATGAAATGTGGGTCCCATCACACAGCCCCTGTGAAATATATGTTGAGGACCTATTAATTCGGCAAATTCCACAATCATACACTTGTAAATTTAAGCCGTAATGCACCAAGGTAGACATGAAGGTAGTCAGTTACGGTGTACTTTACAGTGAATGAGAAAAGAAACCATTACCCGTCCATGGTGGACAGGACAGGGACTAACTCCTGAGCTCAGTTCTAAATCTTTATCATGAAGAAAGTTTCAACAGACACAGAGAATTCACAGCTTTGCTCTTTCCTCCATATTCATAGCTTCAACAGAAGCATTTATCACATTGGGCAAAACATATTATATTAATTTATCCAGAATAAAGCTCTTTAAGGAAGTGGCTCAAATACCTGAAGATGATGGCGATGCCCTGTGGATTTCCTTTGATGGAGAAGAAGAACTCTTCATAGAAGGCTCCCAGGATGCTGGAGGAGAAAGTCACCTCCATAGCCTGACAGCCTCCAGGTGGTACTGTGCCCTCACTGGGGCTAAAAGAGAAGCAGGCACCCAAGGCAGAGCTGGGGGGCACAAGGCTGAACGTGGCATCAATACGACCCTGGTTAGTCAGCAGCACCTGATGGAGAAGAAGAAGCTTAATGCATTTAGGAGGACGTATATTTGTAAAGTCTGCTCCACCAACACGTTCTCTTGAGGCTATCTTGAATTATCTTGAAATCGGAATTTGCACTCTTCCTGTAATGGTAGTGCCAACCACTGGGGACAAGCTTGCTTGAATCCCAGCCAACATTAAATGAAATTTCACTCCAAGAAGCACAGCCAAGCCCTTTTCCTGACCTCCTAAATTGGACAACAGTGACTGTGGAAACTCAACCCTACTTACTGAGAGAGGAACCCAGACCTTTATGTAAACCTTTTACTTAACAGCTAACTCAGTTGTATGGGCAGTTCAGACTTAGAGGTTAAGCAATAACCTCTAACGTTGAGTCCCAATTTTATTTCCTGCTGACGCCTACTTTTCCCAAGCCACAGCATCTGTGTTGAAGAAAATGATAAATGTGAACACTCATTCTGTTTTTGAAAACAGAACAAAATGTCTCACAGTACATCTATTGTATTTCTTATATTATCTTACATATAAAATAGATATATCTTACGGATATATATCAAAAGAGAACAGGTTTTGTGTGATTACGTCTCTGGCACACCACAGATGTTGATATGCTGTGCAATGAATGAACATTTCCGATTAAAGGTGGAGCAATACAAAGGCAGAAAACTATGAGCCTTTGGGAACTATGAACAAGCACCTAAATCATCTTACTCATTAGCTATAGATTTCTTCAATCAATTTAGAAAAATCATATCTGTTACAACTCTTAAGATCTCATGTATGACATTTATAGCTGATGTATCAAAAGGATACAATTGTATTTTCTGGTTAGATGCTATTATTTAATTGTATCCTTTCTCCCAAGTTAGAGTACAGTACAACAAAACCATCAGCCAGATCATTCATCATATTTAGTTTAACACAAGATAAAAAAGAAAGCACACGGGATCCCTTAAATATGTAGATTCAGTTCCACAGATTACCTGCTATTTTTCTGTGAAAAATAAATGAAATCATGATTATTATTATTTTATTATGATTCATAATAAACTGGGGAGATTTTGTTGAATAGGTATTTTCAAATAAATTCACATCTAGATTAAATCTACATGTCTTTGTACAATATGGATCTGAAATCATTGACTCAGGGGGACATTTTTTGCAGGAAAACAAAACACTTCTCACTAATATTCAGCTCTAAAGTAGAACACATTTGCTTTGTTTTGAAGTCCCACCATTCCTGAGTGAATGTACTCAAACTATGGCAGGCTATGTTCAATGTCTTTAAAACTTGTGATCGTAGTTTATGAATTTCTTTTAAAATTGTAATCAGAACTAGATGATAAGTTTACTATGTAAAGATTTGATCCTCATAAAACGGTCCAATGCACAACACTGTGCAAACTGGTCTATATTATTGAAATACACCTTGTATTTCTCCTTATATAGGATACAAACTCATTCTCATGGGAATGTGGATAATGTAGTAAAAAAATAGCACAGAACAAAAATGGATCATTTCACCGGCCAAGAGAATCTTTTCTGCTGAAGCCATTATCACTTGAACCTTAAGTAACTAACCTACATATTGAGGAATTCATACTTCAGTGCCCGAGGCATGATGGTAATTAAAGTCTGGCATTGCCCACAGCATTCCTATCAGCTCAGTTTGATCTACAAAATTCACAGATGCTACAGTCAAGGCGATCCCAAATTCTGTGGATACTCGTACTTTCTATTAAGAATCAACCACAACAATTTAAACACAAACAAGACACCGCTCTTAAACCTGCTGGAGCTTCTGTGAATAATTAAGCCACTATTCTGACAAATTCATGTTCTATATATAGGTAATAGAAAAGAAAAAACATTACAAACTTTATTCCCATTCTCTTTTTTTCTCTTCAACGTTCTCAAATGCAGGTCATGCAGAATGCAACTACCATTATGATTTTAAAGGCACAAGAAACAGTTATGTTTCATTCACATTTTCGTGAGTATTGAGACAGTGAAGCAAAACGAATACAAAATTATAATTTTTTCACTTGGATCAATCAAGTTAAATTATTTAAGTTTTAAGTGCCTTTGTGGCACACTGGATTTTATTCTCAGCTAATGTTCCATCATGTGAGTCATATTTTTATTTCTGCCTGTACCTCATAGCTGTGTTTTGAAGCTACAAATATGTTTCCCATGTCCAGCTGGTCAAAGCTGAACTGCAGTTTAGGTCCAATGCCTTCTCCTTTAATCCTCAGAGGCAGACGAGATTCCCGACCTGAGGGGAACAGAGAGCTTGATCAGTCTTCCTGCACTGGGCTGCATTTCAAATCTGAGGTGAACATGTCTTGCCAACATTGCTTTTTCTGTGTCCTCTGTAACTGCTTGACAGCAAGAGCTCTTCAACTGATCTCAAAAACCACTTGTTAACACCACTACCCATATTTAGAAAAATATTAAAACATAAGAATATTTTTATGTAACTCTTCTGACAGTGAACACAGCTGGGGAAGAGTCTGTTTTTAAGTTGATTATACTGCAAATGAAGTTCCGCTTAGTGCAGGGATGGAACTACAGAGCTAGAAGAGACAAAACAAATTAAAAGAAAGGAAGATTAATTCAAGACTTCAGCTATGAGATGTGAAAATGCAGGTAGATCGGTAGGCACAGAAGCACACTGAGTAGGTGGGTTGCCTGGATTCCACTGAAATAAAAAAGCACTTAATTGGAAATCCATGAGTCTAAAAAGAGGCCTTTCTGACCTTAAACCAGCAGATGTTCCTTTTAAAAGTGTATCAAAAAGTTTTATCTCCATTATAATTATACAGCTTTTGAAATATGGGTGTTAACAAAAAGAAGTTAGATCTTCCTTTTCTGAAAAAAAATGAGTGGTAACTTTAAGGAACAAGCCTTGTTAGGAAAAGTGGGGCTCGTACTTTACAGTATGTGTTCTAGTCCAGACTACAGAGAAACAAGACAGACGTTACATGGTGACCAATAGAGGATTTTTTTCTCCACTAACAGGTGTGTGTGGTTTAAAGTCTTAAATCATCTACTTAAAAAATATCAACGCACATCTGAATATTGCATGACAGATACAAGGGACAGAAGGCTGTATGATGTATACCATTGCAAGATCTACTAAAGGAGGAATACAAGTCTACTGAATATTCTATGAAGGTGGAAGAAAATTAATTTGGATGACAGCCAGGGTACAGAGTTTCCTTGGATTAATAATATCACAATAACCTTGACTAATTAGCTGTCATGCTGGTGCAGAACAAAGGTGATCTGGATATCCATGAAACCTTAAGAATGCATCCCTAGGATTCTAGGTAGCCAGGTTGAGAAAAATTCCAATTAAACTGTTCAATTACTTATTTATTATCGATGACAGAGGAGGAAGAAAGCAGGAGCTTTGACCTCTCCAGGCTGAAATGTTCATTGTCATAACGATGCAGGGCCAAGATCATGTTCCAATTAAAAAATAATATGCCTGTGTAAATATTTAATAAACCTTGAAATTGGGTTACAGGTAAAAATATATTTTGCACATAGTGTGGCCAATTAACGTCCAGCTTCCTCTATATGAGGAAGTGAAGTGATGCACAAGGCTTTCCTCCCAGCAACCAGCTTCTCAAAGATGACCCTGCTCAACTTGTTAATTTAACCAGTCGCCCAGTTTTGGAGTGTACACGATGACAACAGCAAATGAATCAGCCCTCTAAACTCCTGGGCGTATCACAATCACAAATGTTTTCCAGACATTTTTCCCCATTTAGAATAATTGTGGGGTAGGGCTGATAAGAAATGATGGTAAGTAAAAGATACCGAATGGGACTCCTGGTTTACACTTCTTACCTGTAATGTCACAGTACACAGTTTGTTGGTAAATCTTTGCCTCTTTTGGTTTAAAAATAATATTCACTTCAACAGCGGAATTTGGCCAGATGTCACCTTCCTGCGAACACAAGACAACAATCAAAGAAAGGAAAGCTCAGCTTCAAACCTATAGCAGTTTTAAGTTCATCCAGCTGAATGCTACTGAACATCTTTTGTGCATGAATGACCATGAGGTACACAGGATATAAAATGTTCAAATTTAGAGAGGAGTAGATGTGTTGCATTTTGTAATGAGGATCAGAAAAATGATTTACTTCAAGCTTGACTGGAAAATTAATCAGAAAAATCTGTGCTTAGTACTTAAATAAAACCCCTAAAAATTTAACATTGCAAGCAGGAGTTTGCACAGAATGCAGAAAGGTGCTTAGTCTTAAGATGCTGACAGTGCTTTCCAATGCTGCAGGGTGGGTCTTTTAAGGGTACAAGAAGGAATTATGTAAGACTCTTGGCTTTACTTTACTTAGTGTTTATTCTGAGAAGTGACAAATTGCATGTACCACAAAATCACAAAGGACAAGCCTACAGGAATGACCCTGTGCTGTAGTAAAGGAATGCTAAAAATGCTGCATTTGTTAGGACTGAAACTGGTTTTACACCTGTGACTGAAACAAACGCTTAGCACTTTGCAGATCAGTAATGAAAACTGTATCTGAATTTCTTTCAGCTCAATGGTCAGAATAAAAGAATGAAAATCAGGATAACACCTCACAGAAGCCAGTGACTCAGCAAACTTCTTATCCTCTAAAGGCCATGGAGCAACAGCAAGACTTCCCGTTAAATTAAAAAAGAGCCATGTCTTAAAACCTACTTCAGCAAGAAAACATCTAATAAAAAAGGAAACTTTCACAAATCACAATGCGATAAAAGAAGTACAATTCACTGCATTTTTCCACATTAATTGATCATAAAAATAAAAATAAAAATATTGAACGTCATTGTTATGATGACGAAGGAAACGCCTGCTCAAGAACAGGTCTTACAGGGCTGAGAAGTGTGTTATTGCTGGATGACAGAATATGGCTAGACAGCATTTCCCATTTGTTTTAGAAGGGCAGGTGGTATTTCATCAAGTGGAAAGGACCACTGTACTATGTGTGATTTACGGAGCTACAGCACAAACTGCTAGATCTCATCAGTCACTGTTACCTTCCCGAGAGTGGGCTCATAAAAGAACAGGACAGTTGAGATGTTAAACAGCAACAACAGAGAATGGCGCGAGCCGAATAATCATAACAAGAAATGTCACATGACACGAAGAACACGAGTGGTATTTGCTCAGATTAAGTCAAAATGTTTTTTTGTATGCAGCTGTAATGAAATCATCCGTGTCAGTGGCACAGATGAGTTCAGTATCCCCAGGGTGCAGGGCCATGGCTACCCACCAGCGGGTCAAGGGCAATGAAGTCATCGGAAAAAGTCAGCCTGTCCTCCTGCAGCCTCCTCCGCCGGTTGAGGAAGGTGCGGGAGAGGATGGAGAGCCTGTCCCGGATGGTGGGGTCGGCGTCGCACTCAGCCAGGAAACTGTCAGTCTCTTCCTCCTCTTCCCGCTGCAGATCCAAGCGGAACCTGGAACCCGAGAAGGAACCAAATATGTTGATACCTGCCATGGATTGCTGGGACAAACAAGAACATTAAGTGCCCAGCTTCACCAAAGAAGCAGCTGGCTAAACGCTAGACTGGAAGTGGGTTATAGCACAGCCACAACCTGCAACTGATGTACGCCTTCAGGCAACAACATATGCTGCTGTTCCTTACAGACGTTTCTCTGGAAAAAAAGCATGGTCTCTCTTAAACTGAGCCACTGTGTCCCACTGGGCAGACAGGATAAAGACTTAAGTGAGATGGCTGGGCCAATCTACTTATCAAAAAACAACAGCTCTCCTGATGTTACAGAAGATGGCACAGGAAAGGGATTAGTGAGGGTGCAGTTGCCACCCCGTACCTGGGGCAGATCAAAGGCACATAGAACATCAGGAGCTTGCACTACAGTGAAACTTGTCTGACCCCTGCCTGGCCCATTTGTGCCTCTGATGCTATGAACACTGTAACACACCTGAGCTTCTGCTGATCCTCTTCTTCCTCTGTGGCAAAGGTTTTCCACTGGAAGTGGACAACGATGTCACTCCTATTGATTAGGGCAATGGAGCGCTGGTTGGCCATAGTGATGTATGTTTTTTCGACAATGACTGAGTTTTTGTCCAGGCGCACATTAATGTCTGTAGCTGCTCCATACAAGCTGATGTATATATCCTCCCCTAAAAGTGAAAGAAGAAACCAAACTGGATCTATTAGGCAGGAGGAGGACAGACATTGCAAGAGATGCAGTGCCAGGCACAGTCACCAAGATGGTGCTGTTGGGTAAGTAACCTGTTCACACAGCCTGTGCTGTTGTATACCAGTGATAATAATGCTCTTTAGGTCTGAAAAATTGCATCATGCACCACAAGGTTTCAAAATGCTAAAAGCAAAAGAAAATACAATGCAAAATGTGTCAATTCAAAATGCATTTTGTTTACTACTTTGTTTTTATTCAAAGGACACAGTGTTATTTTTTTCTTCTGTAGCATAGTTGAGGCATCTCTCTACTAACCAGACCCCACCCTGGTACACTCATTGTCTCCAAGGATAAAAAGCATCTGTGCTGTAGAAACACCTGGCAGAAACAATACTGTTAAGACAATAATAAACTGGTATCCTGTATATACAGCAACATTGCTTAATTACAGCAGTAAGCAATGGAATTATTGCTTCATATGCATAACAAACACCCCTGTAACCTGATTAAGATTAATTATCTTTATAATGATAGCAATATACAGTATACTAAACTTTAGGTGTTAATCATTTTTATGTTTTTGATAGAGGAATGAAAATGTGATCCTAATACGGTGTGCTTCGAAGTCCACTTTGAAACTTTGCAGAGAGTCCAAATCAAAATTTTAGAACTTCAGAATAGCAGATATTAATGAGACAGAGATCAGGAGAAAAATGGGACAGGATAGATATGAAATAGGTGGCAAAATGTTTAAAGATGTTCTGCTTGAAGAACAGAACAGATTTAACCCAAGACAGAGAAAATAAAAAAAAAAACTAAACAAGCAGTATCCCATGTGGCTCAACAATTCAGTTAGGACAACCAAGAGGGGAAAGAAAGTACAGCTAAAGAAAACGAGCACAATGAATTGCAGGCACAGGTGAAAAAGAATATTAGACGAGCCAGGAGAGAGATGGAAGGGACTATTGCAATGGAGGGTAAAATAAATGATAACAGGTTCTTTCAGTACTGCAACAACAAAAGGGCCATAAAGTAAGTCAAATGTATTTCGGGACAATAATGAGAAATGTCTAGACAACGAAAGGGAAACGGCCAATGTACTTAATGAGTATTTCACAAGGAAGGGGTCAACAGCATGCCTCGGACAACAGAAGGAGAACGTTCTTTGTTAAATGAAACATCAGCAATGAAGAGGCAGAAGTGTTTCACTTACCAGAAGCACATAAAATTAATAAATCTCGCGGGCTGATAGTGTCTTACCAATTGTGCTTGAAAACAAGAGATATGATTTAGAAACCATTGATGTACCTCATCCACTGGTCACAGAAGACAGGGGTATTCATTGCCCATGGAATGAATAGTTCATGTAGTGCCCATCAATAAAAAGGGCAACAAAAAAGAAGTAATTCTAGATTGATATGTCTAACATCTAGAGGATTGCCTACAGTACATAGAAACAGAATCCCAGGGGACAGTCTACTTGGATTTAGAAAAATAAAGTATTGCTTTACTAACCTGTTGGTATTCTTTGAGCAAGCAAAAACTGTGACAGACACAGGCAGAGCACATGAGGTTTTTACATTTTTGAGGGAGTACAAATACATTTCCACATAAAAGATCTCAAATTACATTATAACTACACGTTATAATGACTAATATACATATTTCCCTATGATTGATCCTTATCAAATCAAAGAATGATACTGTATACTGTATATCCTGTAGGTTTTATTATTTTATTTGTATACCCCAAATAAAAGTGAAATTTGCATTCAGGAAAAATAGGACTGAGTACACAGCTGACAACCCCACAACAGATTGACAAACAAATTAAAAGCATCATCTCTAAGGACAGGGGAGGCTGTGCAGAGAATCCCCATTCCCTAGGCAAATCTGCACTCACATAAACAACGACTGCAGCTCATTTTAAGCACTGAATAGCATATAGGCTCTAAAGGTTATTACTGTATTTTAAACAGTGAAGGCACCTGGAGCCAGAGCTCTATCCACATTCTTCTGGCGGTTCTTTAAAGTGTAATCTATCTACTTCTCACCTGCCATCTCAGTGCACAATCCAGTTTAAGAAATTGTCACCTATTGCAAGCTACATTATCGACATGGTTGGCTTTTTAAAAATAAAATTCAATTCATCATTAGTGTTTCCCTCTCAGAAAGAACCTGACATTTTTGCGGGGGCATTGTAATGATTTAAATAATGCTGGTGCAGAGGTTCCATTCTTATTGATAATATTTAAAAAAATCACATCCACAGTAAACAGGAATAAGGTTCAGAACTGCAATGCATTATAGAGGTTTTTACGACACTCTCTTTGGGGAAAAATGCATCTTGAAATGTTAAGAAGAATTATAAATAAATCTAACCGTTTCAATATTCTAAAAGAAATGTTTGCTAAACTCAGACACTTGAAAGGGTTCAAATAAATATTGTTTATCTTTACTTATAAAAATATTAATTGTCTTTCACCATTACAGAGAGTGGATAATGTTATAATGTGGGTACAGTCTATTGGGAAGCAGAAAAAAATCATATTTGCTGGGTACAAATAATATTATCTGGGTAGAAATAAATCATATTTAAACAAATTTGATCCCTTTGAAAATACAGATTTCATATACAGTACTTTCCTACATATAGAATTTTATGAAACACACACATCTAATGTTTTTTATTTAATCTAATCTTCCTGAGCCTACAAAAGCTCTGGAGTGAAAGGGCATTGAGCTAAATCTCAATATATACTGATCGATATTACTGTCTTTGGGAGGCATTAAAAACATCAGCCGAAAAAAAGGGGAAAAAAGAAGAAGTAAATACTCTTTCCTACTCAACAAAAGTCTTCACCATCTCAGGCAGGCTCCAAATCCAATATAAATGAAGATCTTATCAGCCTTTAGAAATCAGAATGGCTGTGTGCCCAGCAAAAGGGATTGTTCTGGAATGATAATTTCTGTCATAGGGAGAATGTTAATGTGGCGAAAATGCAGTCGGAGAACTCAAACAGAATTGCGTCTTTGACAACTTGCCATTGAGTAAGACACTCTGTCTTTGCCCTTTTACTAATCTGCGCATTGAAAAGAAGAGGAATGAACAATATAAAAAGTGCAGACCAGTCCAAACCCTTAAAACCTTTTGGTTTTGGTGAATTGCTATTGATAAGTACAAATCATGTTTACCAAACAGGCTAGACTTGGTACATTATAACAAATGGACTAGATGGGACAACTAGCCTCTTCACATTTGTAACTGGTCCTAAGTAAAGCAAGCAAATAGTACAAATAATGTGAACATCACACGTGAAAAGTCCTCTTTCCAAATATGTCCTGTCTGAAGAAAAACTGTGACTGTGTCCTTAAAACTTCAGCATATTGCTCTTATTTTAATATTTTCGTAAATCTTTTTAGTATTAAGTGGAAAACTGTATAACCAGGTATATGTGTTCAGTAAAATAACTAGTTGTATGTGTTATGGTATTAAATGACAGAATGCTTTTAAAAATGCCTTTAAAAAGCTGTACAGCTTCAGTCTTCACAGAAGATGGAGCACAGGCCCAGTGAAATGGCTGAGGCCTTTCTTTAATAGAAACACCTTTGTGCACAGAGCGAAAGACAATAAAGAAAAAGAACAAGTCATTGAACTTGTCTTGTGAGAAACTTAATCCTGAGATAACAAGCACAGGAGGTGCTTAATCCGCCTGAATAAACCTGACACCCTCTCACAGACTGCACAATAACCCTGTGAGATAGGCGCATACAGCCTTGCCCAGTTAAAACAGAAATGATCTGCTGCAATTGTGAATGTCAGCTAGAAGTTACCATGCTTTGATTGTCTATAACCCTGTCATTTGGTGATCAGTGCCTGAAACCATGACTGGTGAATTTGTTTTAAAAAGGTTAATGAAAACAACTCTTCTCCACACAGAGGTCCTACTGTTCACATTCTTCTGATCAGTAACCAGTCCAGTCTAATTGCATATCAGTGATGGCATCAGTTATGTTATTCTGCTCTTGCCCATGTGAGAACACAGACACAAGATGCCACTACAGACCAGCACATTTACATTTTTCTATATACCAAAGAGCTGAGCTTGATAATATGAAATAGCAGGCAACTGCTACTGCAAATCGTAAATGCTTAATGAGAAAATTGAGATATAAGTAACATTGCTTAGAGGTTTGAAGAGCTTAGCAACTCAGAACCCTTCAATATCATTTAGCATAGCCAAGGGTTTTCACCCACAAAACAAAAGGCCAACATGAAAAAGCAAATGTTTCAAATATTTAAAATATAAACTGTATTACTCAGTATGAATGTATAAAAGCATAAAGAAAAGATAATATTTTCTATATTTCTCCAAAACTAAGCTACTACAAATACAAACAACCAAGATGTTGATGACTAAACTAAAGGTGCCTGATATACAGTACTGTGGATAATTTCTTCCATAAGACTATTTTTCTTAATGGGTAAACGAAAGACATGTACACTAGTTTTAGTTTCATGAAAAATGAAATTCAACTAGCCTCTAGAAGTATGATTCATAAAACCAGTGCAAAACAGTACCGAAGACAAACAAACAAAATACACTTATGTAAAATGTGAAAACACTGGGACTCAATCTTGTGTAGGGGAAATTCTTTTTTCTTATGAACATGACAAGTCTCCTAATCAAATCAATGTGTTCTCTGATCAGGTCAATATATACTTAAAATAAGCACATCCCTTCCAGCTATATATGTTCAGTGTTGCTATCCAAGAGAGCAAGAGTGAAATCATTTTAACATTGAATTTCCTTACAGGCCGAGGTCAAGCTGTTCAATTTAAGGTGTGCATGCAAAGTGGCAGCAATACAAATCAGGAAAGTGATATTTAATGAACTGTTGCCAAATCAATAGAGGCTCAGTTTAAGACCTATCTCATTTTTCTCTTAATTGATCCAGGCCTTGTCTTGCAGCTGTGAA